CAAAGTCAACCTATATGAATAAGGATTTATACACACGCACGCAATTAAGCATTTCATGGAGCTCAAGGAAGTACCTTCAATAGTTTTTCAAAAAGTTGGACATTGGGTCGCTATGAAAGGCGGCACAAAACGAAGTGCGTCCCAATCTATACAAGTAGCAACATTTTCCAAATGATTTTGAAATAAACCAGGTGAGAAGGTAATTCTGTATGTTTTCAGCGAACAAAAAGTACAGCAGCCTTGACTTAACAACTGCAAGACTCCACTGTGATAGAAATGTGTGAATCCCATCAGGTACCATTCTTTTGGTGTTAACTTACCCCTAAGTGGTCAGTCTAATTGTTGTACCGCCCACTTTGACATCTATTTGCGCACGTCGCCATTCTCGCCTTGTTATAACAATTCACCATCCACTTAATCCTCGCTGACCCTAGCTGTGCCGTCTACAAACTCGCCATACATACACACAACCTACTCACTTGACCACACCAGTAGCTAACGTGATGAGAAGCAGTCGATGAAGAGCTACGTTTGCAGCCTTCTTCTGTCACTACTTGGGTCAACGTACAGTTCAATTCAGGCAGAATGCGATAATAAGGTACCAGTGGTGTAGAGCAGCTGTTGCTTCTAATTTCTTATCTTCCAGGGTGCTCGAAACACATATCTTTGGTCATTGAGGCACCCAAAGGCCAACTGCAGGGGCTATTTATTTGGAACTATTCATGTGCCTTACACTGAAGTATGGGATCGAGGTAAGGTGGACCGTCTGAATCTTTTATTCATGCGTTGCGTCTTAAAATACCTTAATTTTCTTTGAATACATCTTTTACTCGAGCTATTTTTTAGAAACATTGTGTTATAATACCTTAGAAATATCACAACTACCTCCTAATCCAATATCACCTCTTCCTTACATATCTAACGAAACTTGTATTTCAAAATGACGTTTGTCTCTACTCTCCTGAAATGCTAACGCAAATTTTAGGCAGGCTACCAGTTGTTGCGCTTCGCCGAGAATTCATTGAGGCCTAAATGCGCATTTTCGAGTAGGTATTCACACTTCGCCTGCATTGTTCGCCGTGGCTAATTTAGCGTGAGAAGCGTGAGGAGAGGTGTGGAAACATCTCAACTCGCTATATCTCATGTAAATGCGTACCCTATCCCGCATAACAGGTGTCCGTAATGACAATGTCGACCGAGATTGTTAAGATAATCGTTTGTTTGAACAAATTGGATAAATGCCAATAGTCTTTGCGACGAGTGCCATCTGTTGTCACAACAATAGATGCAGCAGACTGTGGGAATGGCACTGTAGATGTTCTCAAATTTCAAAGAATACACACTTAAAAATGACTATACTCTAAGTGAGTAGTTGCATAGCGTCATTCAAGTACTTCACTCTTTTTACATTTTTGCATGAATAATTTCTGAAAGCTCTTTTTTTACGATACCAAACCATGGTAAAAGGACATATGTATCCTGTTCAAAGAGAAAAAAAAAGCAATGTTCTTTTAAATTCAGATGTAGAGGTGCTTGTGTACGTTTTTACAAAACATTGAGAAAACTTACTTCTCATGGCATACTATCGATAGTAAGTATTTAGAGCTAATCAAATATGATTTCAGCGCAATACCGTGGATGCACTATGTACAATTTCGCCATGTACAACAAATAGCCTAACATCCTTATATTTAATTCCAATATTTTCATGATTATTCTTCCAAAATCACTCATCTCAACCTCAAAATACTTCACATTGTTATGTCGTCAAAATTCTTACTTTACGAGCTAGCTGATGCAAGCCTACTATAAGACATAAGTTTACAAATGAATAAATTTTTTCACCTTTTTAAACAAGCCAAACAGCTTAGAAATATTAGGGTTCAATGATAACTTGACTGAATGATGCGAGTCAATCTTTTATGGAAGAGGTCTCGATAGAACAGCGTTTCCGCAGAGTTTTGCTAGCTTATAACTCAATGCAGCATTTTCGCAACATTTTCTAAACGGAACTCTCTGACTTGCATTCATTTGTCAAATCAGATTCCATTTCAGCCAAGCACATTATACATCTTCAACTGTAAACACGCAAAAATGAATGAGCAAGTGAGCCTCTTATAAGCAATATATTCGCGCAAACATATGTCTATTATGTTCACATCCCCTTGCATTCATTGCAGGAGGATCTAAGCTTCTAAATAAAATCTTGATTCCCAAGAATAGTTTTCAACATAAGTTTCAAAACATAGCAAATGATTTTACGTGCAAAATGGCAGCATTCTGCTGCTGCAGGGAAGGCTAATGTACTTTTAATACACGTTTAAACTTCATCGTAGCGGAAAAATATAGCGATACACTTGAAAATCACCATTTGGTAAACATTCTCTCCTTTGCTCCAAAGGGACATTTCTGCACTAATCCAGTGAAACCTTATGCTGGTTATAGT